CTTTCTTCTCTCTCTCTCTCTCTCTCTCTCTCTCTCTCTCTCTATTTGGGTGAATACTTAAGCATTGTATTCCCTTCAGAATGCACGTCACTCTTGTACTGCATTTAGAAGGAAAGCAACAAGTGGATCGCATTGATGAGAGGATGATGAGATTTATAAGCCAAAGGCAAGAAGAAAGCCACCATCAAAGTCTCTTAGATACTTGCATGACATGTAAAGTGGATGCAAACATGTATGTAATCATATGCGAGTGAGGCTTTCAATTATCATGATGTCTCATTGCAATGGCATGAAGGACGTGACTTGGCATGGGATCCTCCTCCCCATGCATGCTACCATCTTGCAAGATGCCATCTCATGTCATCACACATCATATGGGTTAGATATAAAATATAGTCGTTAGATAGAGTGATGACACATTAGATTTTGGGATGCATCAACAGCTTCCCATATCTCACCTTCACATCTTTGCTTGACTCCTAACAAAGTTCTTTGTTCGTTAACACATTAAGTGAAGTATTAATCCCTTTTTCCCTTTTCTTAGACATCCAAATATCAATCTCATCAAAAATCATAAAAATAATATATTGTGATACCAATTACATCTTTTAAGATAATTGTATTTTACCTCCAGTAAACAAAATTTGGTCTGAGCAACAAGTCAATTAAAGTATAAAAGAAAGAAATACTAAAAGAACAATGAACTATAAAAAAACATCTACAAACATTAGGAGCTCAAAACATTTTTCATGTCTAAAAGCTCCAATATTTGAGTCATTCACAACTTGGTAGCATTCTAGATGGCAAAGATATGGAAGGGAAAAAAAACCTAGAATAAGGCTCAACAAGGAAGGAAGGAAGAAGGTTAGGTTAATGTGGGGGCATGAAAGAGACACATACATGCATTGCCTTTCTCTAAATTCCACTCACATTTCCAGTATTTCACCTACCCAATTTGTCCTTTGTTAATAATAACCAAAGTGGTGGCATTTTATTGCACAATGTATCCTCTTTTGTATTTCTTATGCCATTGGAGCTGACCTAACACTCACTTAAATGGGTGAGAATGATGCCTTCTCTGCAAAAGGAACCTAAACCTTGCCTTGCATCAATGGATGCTAGCTGTGTATCTTCACCCTTGTTGACAAAATGTTGCATGGAGGATGCCAATTACCATAGTTATTTCCTTTAATGTCTTCTCATATGACCATTAACTTGACATGATACATCATTATTATTATCACACCAAAGATCTTAAAAGGAGCTATGCTTGTGTTCAAAACCATCTCCCTAATTGGATTGCTCATGTGGCCTTGACACACAAATGCTGCAATCACCAATGAAGTCTTGTGCTAATCTGGAAGGTTACACTGTGGCAGGCACCCAAGCTTTTGTTTTGGCAGTCATGCAGCTTGACCTCTGAACAGGCATGCCAAACTAGGGGATCTCATGTGGCCATGGAGCTTGCAGAAATGGCCTTCGGTGCAGCTACCTGCCCGGATTGGCAGCTCACTCCACATGCCCGATCATGGATGTCTCAGGCAGTGAAGGTTATGATGACTGACAAGGACCGGGACCAAACCCTAGCCAGCAGGAAGAAGCCCCCACCTTACCAAAGATGAGAGAGACCAGTCTTGCGTGCTCACCGGAAGTGGGAGTTCATGGGAGCACAGTAGGAGGTGTCGAGGCAAAAGAAGATTGGAAACAAGTCATAAATGGGAAGCTGGACCACTGCACTTAACCATGTCGATCCATCTGAGCTACCGGAGAAGAAGAACCAGTTGGGTTCCCAAGCGTGAATGTTCACATACCAACGAGGGATATATGACATACAGCAGGAGGAGTTTTGCAGATCGAATCGATCACGCTCTTCTTCCGATGGCATCCATGTCTGCTTGACTTGGACATGAACCTGTTTTCTCTGTGCACTGACCGACTGCACAACCGCACTTGTGATATTACTACTGTATTTGGCCCAATGGGCTTCCGGCCCGTCTACCATGAATCCCCTAAATATGACCCACTCCAACCGCGACTTCGTGCACACGGGAAGCACCGTCGCCTCTTTCTGCTCGAGGCATCGGCGACGGCGGTGGGCCGGCTCGATAGCCTCGTCTTTATCGGCCGCCGCAGCTTCTTTCCCCCTGTCGAGTCCTGTAGTATTCCTTAAAGATACATCTCGGTGAGGAAGTCCGCCGCACCATCAAATCATCAAATCAGGACGCGAATCTTGCCACGTTATCCCACGTATGAGAGAATGCCGGTCCCGTGGGGACCACTTAGCTTCTGACCAATGGGACTGGTCTAATCGGTGTGTCGTTCGGCTCTGCGGGTGGTTCCTGCCTCGCCCACGACACGGTATCAGTGGCACCATTTCTCGGATCGAAACGCCGCCATCTCATCTCTACATAAAGCAGCAGCAGCAGCTTCTCTCTTTCTCTCTCTCTCTCTCTCTCGCTGCTGCTTCTCCTACGACTAAAACGTAATCCTCCATCCCCGACAGATCTACCCTTGCCCTATTTCCGTTTAGATATAGGGCTTCGAAAAGCTCACAATTACCCCACCGGCACGATAGAATTAGCGGAAACCCTCACGAGATTTCCGTCTTCCTGAGGAGATTTTGATTGGCGGCCGGTGCTTCCCGCTGCCCCCTTCGCGTGCCATGGCATCGGCGCCTCCGCCGGGAGGCGGCAAGGTCTACACCCGTAAATCCCTCAACAAGGCCGCCAAGCCCGCCTTCCACCCCCGCCCCCCTCCGCCGCCTCACGATGACCTCGACTCACCCCGCCGCCACCCCCCGCCTCACCCCGTCGCCTCCGACGACGCTTCCTCCGGCCCCAACCGACCCTCCGCTCGCCCGCCGCTCGCCAACGGCCGCGGCTCCCTTGGCCGGAGCGTCGCCTCCCGGTCGCGGAAGGAGGCGCGGGAGCTGCGGCGGAAGCTCGCCGCCGAGCTCGACCAGGTCCGTGCCCTCTCCAAGCGGCTTGAGGCCCATGAACTTCAGCTAGCCTCGGCCGCCGGGTACACCCGCTCCCAGCTCTCTGTTACGGACCCCAACACCCCCGGATCTGGGAGGAGGGCGCCCGAGGTGGCGGCGACCGCCGGACCCCTCCGCCGCCAGCTCAGTGTATCCGTCGCTGCCTCCGAGAATAACCCGGGTGAGGGCGCGGAGAAGGATAAGCGGACGCCCAAGGCGAACCAGTATTACAGGAATTCTGACTTCGTACTTGGGAAGGAGAAATCTGCCCCGAACGACCAGCATAGCCACAAGAAATCGAAAGCCATTGGTGGAAAGAAGCCATCTTCGGACTTGCCGAATGCTGGCAGTGAAGGGCTGGTGGATAAGAAACTCTATGCGCAGGCATTCAAGAGTTGCAGCACGCTTCTCTCGAGGTTGATGAAGCACAAGCATGGATGGGTGTTCAATGTGCCGGTTGACGTGAAGGCCCTAGGTTTGCATGACTATTATAGCATCATCAAGTGCCCGATGGACCTTGGCACCGTGAAGTCTCGGCTTGCCGATGACTGCTACAATTCACCTCATGAGTTTGCGGAGGACGTGAGACTGACGTTCTGGAATGCAATGACTTACAACCTCAAGGGGCAGGACGTGCATGCCATGGCCGATCAGTTACTCCAAATATTCGAGGAGCGGTGGCTTGCCATAGAAGCTGAGTTTGCACACCTTCCTCGTCCACCAATAACCAAGAAGCCTCCGCCACTCGACTTGAGGATGTTGGAGAGGTCTGATTCCACTGTACATCCTGTGGCAGCCGAACCAATAACGAAGCAAGTGAATCATTCCACACACATTGGAAGAGTTCCAGCTCCCAAGAAGCCGAAGGCTAAGGATCCGAACAAGAGGGATATGACATTTGAGGAGAAGCAGAAACTGAGCAACAGCCTGCAGAACCTGCCCCCGGAAAAGCTGGAGAGCATTGTGCAGATTATTAAGAAGCGGAATTCGTCTCTGAGCCAGCATGATGATGAAATTGAAGTGGACATAGACAGTGTGGACGTGGAGACTCTCTGGGAACTTGACAGATTCATCACAAATTACAAAAAGGCTTTGAGCAAGAACAAAAGGAAAGCCGAACTTGCCACTTCGGTAAGGCAAGCAGCTGGGCATAATGCACCAGAAGTGGTGCATACAATGGTATGGACTAGTATGTTAATTTGCTTCCTTCTTTGCCAACAAAAATAAGACAGGTAGATATTATGGGTAAACATATTTATGTTGTTTTCTTGATGCTTTTGCAGACTCAGGAACCTGTTGATGCCGACGAACCTGAGAAAAGTAAGACAGACGACTCTTGCATATATTGGCTCCTCATTGGCACATTGTTTTCTCATTTTATTATTATGGCTTAATTGGAAAACAGTGGTGGATGAGAAGTATGTGGCTTCTTCCTCACCAGTTGGAGGAGAAAAGGAAGGGGAAAATGCAATAAGAACTAGCAGCTCCAGCAGCGATTCTGGTTCCTCATCCAGTGGTAATGAGTAGCTCTCTTGATCACTAATAGTTTTTTGTGTCTCTTAGAAGGTTCTGAACTGGAATATGAATCATTTTCTTACCATCAAATGCAAACAAAATTAACCACTTACTAAGAGGCTTTCTGCAGATTCTGACAGTGAAAGTTCCTCTGCCTATGGCTCGGATGCACCACTCTCACACTCACCTAGGACGTGAATGAATCAAGGTGATAATAATCATTGCCATGTCTGATGAGCAATGCTGTTGTGTTTGACATATTCAAGTTGGTTATGACTAAGCTTCTACGTTGCACATAACATAACTAGTGGATATTTTTTACAACTGTTATTTGCTGTAGTTTGATTGCTTCAACATAAACAACTTCTTTGCCTGAGGTGGGAAGGTTATGCACATTGGTTTTTTTTAACCCCATATCGGTAGGACTCTCATTCATCGAGTCACCCTTTTTAATATGACAAAACGTTTTAGTGGCATTTAGTACTGCTCTGCATTGAATATCATCAGGTTCTGTTGCCATCGTTTGCCCAAGAGCCATCAAACTTCCTGGTCCAACATTCAGCTGACATAGTTTATGTCACTTTGCCATTTTTGAAGTGTTGGAAGGTACTAAAAATTGTCACCTAAAAGAAAGTACGAGACTGCATTTTTTTGACCCCTCTGTTTTTCAAGAGTGAACAACAATTCACCACTCTAAAGTTAGCTATATTGCTTTAGCAAGAATCAAATGCATAACCATTTGTCATCTTTGATCACAGGGGATGCAACTAACTATGTCTCAGCAGCATAATTTGGCATTCTAGACGTAGGAACGTGAGTGATTCTCAGTGCGGATAGGCCAGACATTTTTTTCATAGAACCTTTGACATGTCTAAATAAGATAAATTGAATTATAGTTCAACACATTTTTGTATATCTGTCAGGACATCCTATTATAGTTATCACTTTGATGGGTTTATATCTGGAAACAGGATAGGGGATAAGAGCAATGAAATTTATAATTATTAGAATTCCATTTGTTTATGTCGCTTTTGATCACTTAAGATATTGAAGGAATAGAAATATTTGGTTTGCAACTGTAGTCATGCATCTTAAAACTTAAGATATATGGTCGTGGAATCTACTTCCAAATTTGATGAATCTTCAGCTTTTTAAGATCGAGAAGCCATGCAATATGAATTGTGTTAGAGTATTTTTAAGTACTTTTTTATCCCTTCCTTTTTTTATTGGTTTCTTGCTCTTTTTTCTTAACATATTTAATTATTAAAATTCTTTGTATCCTACTAATATGTGCTTATTTTTTTGGCATAAGCATGCATCATAATTTTTAAATTGATGAAATGGTTCATTCCCAAGATTGTTGAACTACATGCAGGCAATGCAGAAGCTCTGGAACAGCATGGTACATGTTTCATAAGATGGTGTCCCATGCTGCTAGGGCAGCAAGTGGGTTTGGTTTTAAATCAAACTCCTTCAAGCCGGTCTGTGGATTGGGTTCAATGAGCACCAATTTGGATTTGTTTAGAATCCAATTATAATTCAATTGAAAACTATTCTAACATGACCCAACTGGAACTCAATACAATTTGGCAATCTAATATGCATGTTACATAAGGTAAATGTTGTCTGGTACCAGATTATGGTTTTAACTTCATATATTTTAGTTATGGAACTGAGTAACCTAGCTAAATCAGATTCGACTTGACTTAGTTTATCACTAATCTGACCTACTCCAATTTTTAGCCCTAAACACAGCTGGCATGGGTTATGGTTGGAAAACCTAACGCAAGGCCAGATTCTTTGGGCTAGTGTTGGTTGCAATGGGCTATATCGGACATATGATTGGCTTTCATTTTTTGGGAAGCAGTTGCATATTTGATTTTAGTTTGGCGGATAAAATGATATCAGATTGATGCACAAAATTATTGTGTGAATTGGAAAGGTGGAATATGGTTTTAACTTTTAAGGTGAAACTGGATCTGGATATTAGGTTTTGGGTAAGGTGATAGTGTTAAGGCTTGTAAAGAATATCAAAGGTAATGGGATGAGTCAAAATTACAAATGGAAAAGGAGAAGATATATCTTACACTTGCATCAAGCACTAAATTCACGGACTTTATGGTCTGAATAGCCATATATGGATTTTGTGTCTTTGCTTTCCAAAACATGGTAAAATGATAATTAGTTGTGATAAGTATTGTGACATTCTGAAGGAGAATTTTAGAATATATTTTTTTATTTCTGTGTTCCTTTTCGCTTGTTTTTCTTTAGCTAGTTGCATGAGGACACAGCTTATCTGAAATTGTGGAGAGTTGCAGTTTGAGTGTCCCTTCATTATTCAAAATCATCTAGATAGTCCAGAAATTTCTCCATGATCATTAAACTGCAGACCATGTTCTGATAGCCTTTCTGTTTGGTGTTACTTGGCCCACTAAATGAGCAGACAGTGTGGGTTTATCATTGCAATGCACGGAAAGTGAGAGTTTGAATAAATATTTCTATATACAGAACATGGATAATAGCAGTGTCTAATGTGGAATTAATTGCAATTTGTAAAATTGGGATCTTCGAGACCCATAATATCCGAACATTTTTTCATTGAACACATTTAAATGACTCTAACATGGATAATTAGAAGAAGCAATTATGATCCATCATGGATTGTTATCAGTTCTCCCGGTGAATATTTTCCTGATTAATGCATTCACCATCATAAGAGGCCATCATCAAAATTGAAAATATTGGAACATACAGGGCCAAATCAGTGAAAGTATTTAACCATCAATATTGGAAACATAAAGAATATGATTTTATTTGTCAGAACTCCCTTTTGAAATGATTATAGTGCGCCAAATCATATTTCCTTGTCTCTACAGTTTACGTCAGTTACTTTAGCAGCAATTCTTTTTGGATTCTTAATATATATATTATGATGACACCTTGTTTAATTGTCAACGTCATATGCAGCAAGTATATGGATCATTTTAAAATGGAGTTGCTTCTCGAAAAAAGAGTGCCACAGTCTTCCACACGAAACAATCAAGGTGCTCTTTGTTCTGTTATGACTTGTAGAATTGTAAGCTATAAGCTCCTGGCAGCAGTCATTCGAAAGCCTGCACAAGCAAGGGTTCTGCCATATTCTGCTGATGCAGCATTGGATTATGTTGGTGTAATCTATAGGTACAAGGGAAGCTTTCGTTTCAATTTGGTCACACACAGACACTGTGACTAATAATGTATTTGTTGCTTCTCGGAGCTGTGCTTCACCAGTAACCTATGGTGATTCGGTGGTCGTGGCATCGAGGAACTATTTCGGTCTCGCAAAAATCCGCAAGATTTCCCTTTGATTTGGATAGTTTGATGTAAATAATATGCACACACGAATCTCTGACTTAATGCAGTCCAGCACTCAGATACTGTTGCTCGCCGTAGTAGAGCTGGTATTTCATCATCCTGCAGGGCTTCTGATGTTATTTTGTCATTGTCGATGCAAGCGAAAGCAGCTAAAACAGGAGTTCCCATCAAGCATGCCAGCTATATCATTTGGACCATCACTTCTCCGGTAGCAGTGAGCGAGAGACGCACACAAGCTACCGAGGACATCGGTGAGGCCGTCCAAGGTAACAGTAGCACTGCACGGTTCTTTAATGTTTGTGGGGGTTGATCGAGTCTGTGGTCTCTATTCCTGTTTCTTCATTATTAGTTGACCTGTGCAAGCTCACCTAGTGATCAAGTATTTTGCATACAGATTGCTGATCTATACCATATAGTCTGTTTCCAAATAGTTAAATAGTTGGAATAATTATTGTGTGCTTTGCTAATCTTCTCATTTATCTCTCAGATATCAGATGCTTCCTCATCTCGGTCAGGTACGTCCGATCCGATTTCTAACACTCGGTTGAAACCGAAATAAAATGATGTGTACTGATTTCATTCATTGGTATAATTAAGTCTCAAAGTGTCTTATGAGGAGATGGAATGGTTAGAGAGAGAGAGAGAGAGAGAGATGGGAAAGTTGAAGGGTAATTCTATTGCTTGGGATACCTATCACAACATCCATCATGCACGCATATGCCAATGCCGTCTCATTGGGGGAGTGAGGAGAGCGGACAGCTAGAGATAACGACATGGTAGGATTTGGAGGAACCGCATTGGAGAAGGGGTTGGTGATGGGTCGACATCACATAGTGAAGCAGTCCCATTACCTGTTGTTTGCCCACAGAATTCCCGGTAACGCATCACCACCAACGTCAACGAACCCCACTTAACATCACAGAACTCGGAGAGATTGAACCCAAGTTAAGTTTATAGGAAGATGATGTCGACTTTTATAGAACTCCTACTAGGGGGCCCACCACCTGCCTAAATTATTTCATCTTTTGTAGTCTTTTTTATACACGATGATTTGATTGCTGTTGTTGTTATTATTATTATTATTATTGATTTGTGATGTGTAGGTAGGTTAGAAAGAAAAAATAGTTGAATCAAATTCGATTCAAATGTACTGTATTTTTAAATTTTTTTTATTATAAAAGATAAATCTTACGATAAATTATAATAAGTCAATTAATCAACACAATCAAAAAAAATTATTGGTGGAAGTTTCGAACTTTCAATCTTTTGATTTGATAATATTTATCTATATATTTTTTTTGTAAAAAAAATCTGTAATTCTTACTCATTTGAATTGGGTCCCACCGAATAAATAATTTTTTTAAAAAAATATTTTTCTGAACACGTCAACAATCATTGACTTGATGAGACGTGGATGGATTTGCCATATAATTAAAAGAAAATGATCAAATAAAGGGACCTATCACCAGCCGTCGTGATTTCCACACCCACCCCACCCCACTTTGTCACGCACCTCACCCTACATTACATAAATAAAATAAAAAATAATTAATTAATTAATTCAAATAAATACTTTCTTTTCATGTAGTAGATAGATAGTCCTCCACAAGGAATCGTACGACCACATGTGGACTAGTAGTAGTAGTACGTGTGCCACTCGCTTCGGCCATGGAAAACGTAGAGCCCATACGCTTGCCCCCACAACGCTTCTTCCCCTCGAGATAATTCCACCAATCCATGGACCACAGTTTACTAGGCGTGAAAGAGGAGATGCGAGATTACCTCCTCCTCCTCCTCCTCATCATCATCTTTTGCCTCTTCCGACTATTTCTTTACCTATTTAAATTACTTCTATTTCCACCCTCATGCACATGTCCCCAAGTCACTGGCGAAAAGCTACGCCCCACCGAACAATGCCACCACCGAGGCCAGAGTTCTTGTAATGTCGTGCTCTCTCATCATCACATGATCTTGCATTGATTATTTATTACCCTGATAGATATTAGTTAGTAGGTGCTACCACACCAAAGCCTCTTCGTTCAAATCTCGGTCATGTTCGTTTGACCCATTATTTTCGCCTCTTAAACATCATCACGATAGCTACGGACAGCAACAGCGCATCAGAGAGTGACAGGTAGAGACATCTCGAGCAGATATGAGAGCGAAGTTTTGACGTGATGGGAAACGACCTACCTTATCGCCATGGGATATTTCTAGTCCGCTCCATCTACGTGCGTACAGATGGGAGTGCCTTGTGGCTACAGATGTGATGGACCCGTCCGGCTTGAGAAAGACTTATGCTTGGCTTCTTTTTATTTTTGCCAAAAAAAATAAATAAAACTGAGTTAGTACGTCATCCTCCTATCATTATTTGAAAAAATTATTATTATTATTATTATTATTGGACTACAGTTTTAAAGGATAAATTTCTGAAAAAACAACTTTCTTTTATATTTTTTTTCTTAAGAAACATCCTTCGATTCCCACATACCACCTTTTTTTTGTCTAATTTTAAAAATATCTTCGATCGTTTAATTTTTTATTTTTTATCTTATGAATTTACGATATTTTTACACTATGTTATAGTATTTTTTTTAATAATATAAAAATATTTTAATATGATGTTAGAATACTTTTATAATATTATTGAAAACAATATATTATGATTTAATATAAAAATATTATAAATTATCATTTTTATAAAATTAATACAATAATATAATAAAATTATCATTTGGAATTAAGTACATAATCTTTTATCGTCATTAAAATTTAATTAAATTCAAAGTATAAATTTTTATTTATATTTTTTATTAAAAAAATTAGATATTTTATTATCTATTCTCGTACTACTAATATTAATCACCATTCGGATGTTTCCTAAACACATACAAATATAATCTTAAATAATTTATTTTCATCTTATATTCTATCATAACGATACTAAATTATTCATGGATAAAAATATATATTTTTATCTTAGATTCATGACTATTCAACACTTAGATCCATAAAATATTATTAATCATATAATTATTTTATAATTTTTTTACTTTAAAAATATTCGATAATCACATAAATTTTAACGTCCGTTTTAATTATCTTATTTTTAAATTATAAATAATATCTTTATTATTTTTTTATTTTATTAAATAATTGATAAAAAAATATTAAAAAATTATTCATCTAACTTAAAAATAATATTATAATATTTTTTAACAATCACTTCATATAACAAAATAAGAATATTTAAAAATTCTAAAGAATGTTTCTCTATAAAAAAAACTATAATTTTTTTAAAAAAAAATCACCCTATTTTAGACACCAAGGATGAAGTGTTTTGCATCAATAAAACCAGAAAAACAAACCATTTCTATAATATGGACATAGATATAAATCCTCAAGAGAGTTTCACACGATTTGTGTCGAACACTAATCTCTCGTCATTGATAGTGTCAATGATAAGCCCAGCGGTGTTCGGCAACCACACCACAAGCTGCCGTATTCGGAGGGATCCCTTCCACGACGTCCTCTTTGTGAGCCACCAACCATGACGGGTACGGGTTCAACGAACCCGGAGAGCCACAAAGTACTCAACACTGGGCGAGGACGTGACTCATGTGATCCCCCCTCGATGCGGTCCCATTCCTCCTCCCCACAACATCAGATGGACGATGGAGATGTGATCCATTACACGCTAAGCTTGTCGGAGACCAAAGACACACACCGGACACCTGTTTTTAGTACAGTTCTACGTAAAATAAGAACCACAAATAACCCCCAACTCCCACTGCACACTGCAGCAGCAGCAGCAGCAGCAGCAGATTGATTAGGAGCCCCAGTCGCGTGAAAAGACGCGACACTGGAGACGCACAGCTGCCCGCGTCCGTCTCTCCCTCTCTCCCACCTGCTGCGAGCCAAAAGCAAAACACCAGATATTTAGCACTGACGATGATATAGAACCAAAATGGCACTGCTGCAGCAGACAGTGGCCTCGCTTTCCTCTCTCTCTTCTTGTCTGGTTGGCTTCCAGAGTTCTCGTGACCATTGCCTCGTGCTGCTCCAAGCTATCAGCAAGCAAAGAAAAAGGTCTTCTGTCTGTCTCTCCCGGACCAGACATCCTTGCCAAACAATTCATTCTTTGGCATGCCAATGCAATCCAGAGAGCTTACTGATGATAATGCATTTACATATATATTATACAATACCGAGATTGATAGGATGACATGATAATTACAGGTTCCACATTGAAATCAAAAAGCATAAGAAATCAGATAGCTTTCGCAGAAGGGCGCGTCCCAATTCCGTGTAGAGGACGGTCGCAGTGTGCAACTCCAATCATCGCAGATGCCCTCCTCATCTTCTTCTTCTTGAACCCAACCAAATCCCCAAAACAAACCCACGCTTCCGTTCTTGCCAACCCCCCACTTTGTATGTACACAATACCCTCTTCTCTCCTTTGGGGGAACCTCAAGTTTACTATGTACAAACGTTCCATACAATTACCTCCGGAATTACCCTAATCTCTCTTCTCGTAATTGCTTCGTCTGATCCGCGAGGAGGAGTACGGATCACTTGACCAACTCCGACACCCATCCGACGTCGGGCGCCGGCATCGACGGCGCGGCGTCGGCGTCGGCCCTCTCCAGAACACATTCCTTGCTTAGCTTCTCGAACATCTTCGCCCTCAGGGCCCTCCCTGACTCCACCCTTTCCACTGGCTCTTTGCCGCCGGCGTATCCAGCGTCCGCGCCATCAAACCACCCCAGTCCGCCGCCCAGCGCGGCACTTGTCGCCGTGGGGGTCGTTGGCAGACTGCCGAACCCGGCCCTGAACCCGGCCGCGGTGCCCCTTGGCGATCCGAACGCTTCACTGCTTACTTGTAAGCCCCATGAGCCGGGGGATGACTTGGCCTTGCTAAGCTGCAGCTGGCGCAGTGAGAATTCTATCTCGTTCAGTGAAGTCCTCATCGGCCACGAGGTTCGCCGGAGTGCGGCGGTGCTTGGCGACATCGGTGGGGAGTCCGACGGTGGGGACATCGGCGGCGATATCAGCGTCGAGGTCGGCGAGGAGGACATGAGATGCTTCGAGAGGTAGGTCTCCAGCGCCTGCTGGCGTAGAGGCGATCCATCATAGGACTCGCCCGCGACCGCCGGTTTCGTTGGCGTCTGCTGCTGCTGCTGCTGCGGGAGGATGCGCAGCTGATCGGCGGTGTGGGCGAAGAAGCACACGCGGCGCCGGCAGGCGGTGCCGTCCTTGCAGGGTTGGGTCCGGTAGCGCGCCGGGTGGAGCCAGCACTCGAAAACGCCGTGGGCGAACTCGCAGGCGTCACCGCGCTTGCAGCCGCCCTTGCGGAAGTCCGGGCACGCCGCGCCGGAGTAGTGGTACTTCCGGGGGTCCCGGCGGCGCGCCTTCTCCCCCGGGTGCGCAAAGGGGCACTCGGTCCAGTCGTGGGAGCGACCGCGGGCGCACCGCCGCACCTTGAACTCGTACATCCGGAACTCGTCCGACGAGTACACGTCTACGGCGGCATCAGGTTCCTCCACGTCCTCCTCCGCCACCGTCTCCTCGCCGTTACAAGGCAAATACCTTTGCAGAGCAGCCGCGAGGGCGGAATCCCCGAGTCCGTACTCCCCACTACCACCCCCACCACCGCCGGCAGCGAGGTGGTAGCCAACGCCAACCGCTGCATCCTCGAAGGGAGACGACCACGGCGGTACTTGGACCACCGGATCGCGTTGATGCCGGCCTTCCCCTCCGACCATCATCATCATCATCGTCTCCTCCCTCTCACTTTCAGTCTCTCTCTCTCTCTCTCTCTCTCTCTCTCTTTCTCTTTCTCTTTCTCTCTCCGCTCTTCCGCCTCTCTATTTGGCGCAATGCGAATAGACGGTGAGAGGTAGGAGCTGGTTATAAACTACAAGCCTTAACCCCGGCTGGGGATGCGGTAACCGCGGATGGGTATAGCTTACCTAACCGCGAGTCATGACGACAGAACTAACGGCGTTCGGAAGCACGAGGCGTGGGAGAGGGAGTGTAGGGACACGAAGCAGGAAGTAACAGGGTAACGGTGTCGGCAGTCGGTTTTAAGGAGGAGGTGGGACACGTGGAGAGAGGAGAGAGCGTTGTCAGGCATGCGGAGGACGAGGTGGTCTGCGAAGTGCCCCCATCGCCAGGCACGTCCTCTCTCCTGGCGGGAGCACCCTTGGAGGACGCTTGATTTACACCTTTGCCCCCTGCACGTACGTCCGAAGTAGTTTCTTGTCTTTGATTTGGGGTTTCGAGCAACGGCTCGAACCGCTCATCCGAGTCGAGTTGAGTCGAGTCGGCGCTTTATGGACGATTTGATTTGATTTGATTCTACGATGATGATGACGGTTGGGGTACACCATGCACAGTCAAGAATCGAGAAGGTTCACGTTGCTTGCTGGCTAATCTTGCCTCCCAAGCACAGATAAAGGCAGTGGGCCCGCGCTTTTGGTACGGCGCATACAAAGAGTAAGTGCCCAACAACATTCGAGTGCCTTTAAATCGTTAGCCAAACATCACTGCACATCTTTTGATCACCCCCGACCACGAACAGCGAAGTGATTTGGAGTCGGGTTCGATTCAATCCGGCCATGCACGGTCTTGCTTGCGCCCGAAGCGTTCGCCGTGGCTTTGAACCCTGGCAAGGGAGCCATCGCCTCTGCCGTGGTTCGGACGTCCAACCAGACGAGATGGTGACGGTCAAACCAAGCCGTGCCTGCACATGGGCGGAGCCCACACCACCCAGCACAATTATAGCTCTTTTTACTGTCCCCCATTAATCACTAAAGAAATCACCACGACGCATTTGGTGGCCATACGCGAGAAATTTGATGGAATTGTTTTAGATATCTGATGCAAAAATATCTTTGTAATTTATCAAGGACGAGGAGCCAAACCTATCGGAGCAGAGCCACGCAGGGCTGTAGCCACGTGATGGGGAGCGCGACGGCCATCCCGACCCACATGGCTTGCCATACAGGGTGACCAACCGCCGCAACCCACATCGCCTATCGCCACGCACCTAATCAGCGAACGTGAACTCCGAAAGAAAAGAAAACGCCGAAAGGGAAACGGAAAACAAAACAACAACTTAGAAGCACATGAAGGAAAAAAATAATTCGCTTTAAAGCGAGGAGGAAGACTACAAGAAGGAATCAATGCGGATCGTACGGCGACTTTCCACGCGGCAGGAGGTTGGCCAGATCACGACACGAGCTTGGCCGAGAACCGTACACGTGGCCCTCGGTCGCTGTCACGTCCTAAATGACAGGCACGGCAGCCTTAAGCGACGCGCAAAGCACCGAGATGTCGCCACGCGTCGACCCCGACTTCGAGATTCCCGTGGGCTGATGGATCTTGATCGTCCATCGAGACTTCGAGAACGCGGCTGCAGTTCTCTCGATGTTCGAGCATAAAATAAATACTACGATTTATTCTGTGAGCTTTCGAGTATTCGAGAAGACCGGAAACACCGAGTGCAGCATTTCCCTGTAAAGGACTGTAGGCTGGCATTCGAGTGACGGGAAGAAGAGTTAGCAGCAGGGAAATCTTGTGAGCTTTGAGGTGTCTTTTCATCGATTCTTCTTACTATCTCAGGTTGACGTGAGATGAACATTTGACTGTGTTTTATTTTAGATGTTAAATCTGATCGATACAAAAGGCTCACCAGTTCAACTTCCTCCTCCTCGGGTAAAGGTTCCACTCGAACATGATCACTTGCAGATATATCTTAGAATACGTAGATGCCCCACACAGCTTGTGGGAGCTGATTAATAAACCATGGAAGATTCATCTGGATAAGAACCAAGACCTGTTGGCTTAAACAAATGCATGTTTCCGAGACAAGGGAAAGGCCATTCCGTCTCGGAAACAATAAACAATGCCCAAACTTTGGTAAAGAGACGGCAAAAGGAATGTCAAGGCTTGTATCTTCTTCCTGAATCTTTCATCCTCCCACAAGTTTGATACAGATAATATACTAAATCAAATAAGGAAAGAGGGAGAGAGAGAGCTTGGTGGGGGCAAGTATCATGGAGAGCTCGTGAAGAGGACTCAATGCTCCAGGGTCAGAGGTGGAGGAGATCTTATCCTCTTTGAGGCATGGGAAGCACATGACACGAGACTTATATTATGGCCTCGACGTGACTGTAGACACTGCATGCAACCAAGGAAACCCAGCAAAAAGAAAGGGTTCTTTTTTTTTTTCTGTGGACAGGGAGAATCCAAGAGTTGGTGCATTCAAAGTGCTGCAGATGTAACCAGAAGAGATCTTTTGAGCGCATGTGGGGGAGACAAGCGGATGGTTGTAATTTAAGAGACAGTGGGTTTCTTCTCGGCACAACTTGGTGATGATTCCAATGGATGTCTTCCCATCGCAGAGCTTTCGTAAGTTATTGTCCAAGTAAAAGTCTCTTTTTTTTATCTTTCGGATAAGAGATCGTCCTAATAAAACCGTGAAGGATCATGATGCTCATGGCAGAGAACAAAGTTAAGTTGAGATCAAGGGGATGTGGAGAGATAAATATTCATTCTTCATGTCACAGTCAACTCATTGATCTTAAAATGAGTATGATTGGCTGTGTTATAGTAAGTATATTACATGGCAATCTTTTGTTGGGCCTCATTTGCTTTTACCAGTTACAGGTCGTTTCATCGGCGCATCAATCAGCAATGGCGGCCATGAGCTCATTGCATGCGAGCTTCAGGTCTAGTAATATGAACTCTCTCTTCGGATCTGAAATCTTATGGCTTTTCATTTTGACATTGTACGTTTATGCTGAACTTTCTCTTTCGTTTCGGTGTGATACCGACCGGTTTGACCTTTTATGTTTTTACCCTACATATGTCAGCGGCATTAGACTCTTTGTGCTATACACCTCATTTGATCATTACACTTCTGTTGTTTTGGAGAGGAGAGTAGCTCGAAGTCATTGCACTTCAAGAATTTAACTTTCCTTGAAATCAAGCAACCACCATAATAAATTAAACTTTCCACTGCGGTATATTACCCTTAATTTCTTCTAACCATGGTTAAAAATATAGTATTATTTTCATATTATGTCTTATGTTAACTATTTTTTTTTTACTATTGTTAGTGAACTCACTTCCTGTAGCCGAGGAGTCAGCACGGCCTGGTCCATGGGTCGATGTCCGGAGTCGTCAACATTCTAATGCGTGTCTCTCGGTCGATCGAAGGCAATCATGAGGACGGACTGGACCAGGAGTCGAGGTGGTTGCGTTTCCAACGCGGGATTGAGTTAGCTTAGGGGCGACCGTGTCCTTGCACGCAGACCCGGATCCGGGGATTCCTGACTTAGGCCCCTCGTAGATTAAGTCAGTGGTTTTTTCCTTATCCTCCTCCCTCGAGCTAGATGTCGGTCATGGACTTTTATACTGGCGCCCGAGGGTCGATCATACATGAATTTAACGTGGCGACCGACCCCCCGAGTGGTGAGTACATACCTTCGTACGGTCACCACTCGATATACGCGGAACGACGCCATGCGAAGTCGTCCCGAGTTTTCCGGAATAGGGCTTGTCGAGAGGACACATCCCTGTACGGGCTTTGGTTGGGCGCGAGGGGAAGGCGACCCTTGTGCTGAATCTGCAGGGATGTATTCGATGTGGCGCCTGATCCACGTCCCGAGGGCTCGGGTTTGTGTTGATGCCAGAAGTGGATCGTAGCGTGGATCATGACGTGGACGAGATTCGAAAGATGACACGTCCTTGCAAGACTATGATTCTTAAAACCATAGTTTAGATATCTTATAGACCATGATTATTTTCTATCCCATTTTCTTTCTTTTCTATTTCGCGCATTTCTTTCTGTCTTCTTCTACCTTCTTTTTAACGGAAGATGACACGTCCTTGCAAGACCAACCTCCCTAAACAGAGGCACAATACATCATCTTCCCTTCAATTTAATTGTTGTTGGAAGTAGGATGTGAATCACAAAGGGCGAACAGTAGAAACCTGTTGCTTGCTATCTTTGAGAAATGGCAAGATTGTGCTCTTTCTCAATCATTATAAATGCACATATTGGTCCATTCTAGAGTTATGCATGCCAACACTTGGGATGGCTTGCTGTGCCGATGGTACATTAAAGAGGTGAAATATAGAGGAAATAAATTGGTTTAAGTTCTGAAGTTTTTGGTCTAACTTAGGCTATCAATTCTCTAGAAGACTTTGATTTGGAGGCGTCGAATCCTAATATATGCACTAATATTCTTAGTAGCAGTTTCAGACTCTAGTAATGGGCTCTTTAACTTTGTGTGCAAACTATAGAAAACTAATATTAGGAGTGGAATAATCAAATGAGAGGACTGTTGCCATTCTGCTCTAAAATTGTTATCAGCAGGCATTGCCTGATCGAAAACTTTTCTTTGGTCAGCTTTTCACTGAATGGTGTGATACTTTGTGATCTCAGACTTTGGGCCAAATGGTAGTATCTGCTGTCTGATATGGGGCAAAAACATACTGATAGTTCAGAAGTTTGGTCCACATCATGTTCTATACCATGAAAGAATGGGCTATCAGTTGTCAAAGCTCCAAAGGAGACTAGCAACTTTTAATCTCTTGTTTGAACTCAGGCAGTTGGCTTATCTTTTTCCCTGATGTAACTTTTCAGATTAATACTTGTTGACTTGAAAATCTCATGTTAACTTTCATAGAAGACTGACTGCATTCTCTCAAGATATGAAATTTTTAATTCAAAAGCAGATTTAAATTGATTCTAAGCTTTGGCTCATTCAACCAATTGAGATGTGAAGTCATCAGGCTCAATTAAGCCACTTTTTTATACTGGTAGTCTCAGTGAATCTCATGGAGAAACATCTTCAGATAGTGAGGATAGCTTGGCCAATAGGCTTTGATCTTAAACCCACGTAATCAATAAAGATGACATCCCATAACATGTTTCTGGTAGATCTGATGAATCATCAAGTGCAGATGATAGTCCCAGCAGTGAAGAGTTTCAAGATATTCTAGTTTGTCATGTCATATATATGATGACTGCTACTGATATATCCTGAAAGATTGCTCTTTCCATCAGTTTAACTTTGATTGTTTCTTTTAGAAAACAATGAGGCATTGATTTTTATATAGAAGAAACCATGCAGGTTTGCCTCCAATTATTTTTACTTGTATCCATCTTTCAGGCTGGCATATTTCCAGTATTCAGGTTGATAGGAGCAGGCTGTAAGCCTTGATTAGATCAGGAAAGTAGTCTGTGAATGGATTGTCTGCAAAGGTTTATGGTTCCTTCTTCACTGTGTGCAATTCTTGTCTTAGAATCTGGCATGACATACATGTATACTTCCATATTGTCATGGAAATTGCCAAGTAGGACATTGAATCTTTAGTCATCAAGATTAATCTGTTTGGAAATTTCATCTGAGTTTACTATTCCATTCTTTGCTTGCTACTGATGGACCTCATTTTTCAGTAGGATAAGTCTCTGTAAAAAACAGTTGACCAGCCTATTGAAATGAACAATATTATAAAA